AGGCTAGATCAATTCAGAGTTGAGGATTTGAATCTGAGTTTGTTAAACCTGCTTGGTGAAACGGACCCCTGGCCGTTTACCATTTTACCATGATTCCACTTTTTTGTAATCAAGAGGATGATTGAACTGAGCCAGTTTAATATTAACCATGCTTGTGTATTTTATAAGTAAATCGTTTCCGTTATTAAATCTTCCATTACTATATGAATCCTTAAAAAGAAAGGAAAAAATAATGTGTTCCTTTTTAACATTGATAGACCAGTCCATCACATCAGGATGCGTAAATGTGTGGATAACGAGAATGCAAAGAGTAAACGCTCTTCTTCTTTTCAAGCCATTGCAGATGAACATCGTTTGACTGGGAGGGCTAATTGATGTAATCTTGAGAAAGGTCTTAAAATAGCGTCTTGCATAACACCAGAAAGCTGTTATGCAAGATGCCACTCTGCCAGTCCTATATAATGATTTATATCTGAACATGGACATTTAAATTTACTTTTCATGGACATTTTTATCTCATGTCTTACAAGGTGTGCAACGTAACCAAGATCCAGCGTGCATCTGCTGACTACAGGGTGGTCAGCTAGAACATGTTTCCATCTTTCTGGAAAATGAAACTTTGGGAAACTTCTTATTAAAAGGAAGCTTTTAAAATAACTTTTCTATTGTTTCGATTCTTTTTTCCAACCTTTTATTTTTCATATATATTTTTTCTAATTTTATTTTCAAAAACAGTTTTTTACAATTTCTCTTTTTATAATTTTATATCAAATTTTATTGTTTAGTTGTTTTTTCAGATTGAATTTTAAGAGTTGCATCTTTTTAGATTATATGTTACACATCACATCCACTATACTGATGGGAGCGGCATGGAGTGAGACGATACAGTTTCATTGGTCAATGTGTTCATGAAGCATTGGTGACTCTCAAAATAATGCAATCTGTTAAAACCTGAATAAAGAAAAAAAGCTTAAAATATAAAATTTCATAAAATATAAAATATGTTGAAAAAAGAATTCAGAAAAAAACAACACAGCTACTCTAAAAAAAAACATTATTTTTATCGATTACAATTATTACAAATTCTGTTTGCAAGATGACTTCCTTTCTTGCAACAATAATGGAACAAAATTCACGCCATAAACGCTCAGCTTTTACTTTGTAGAAAAAAGAGAAAATCTGAACAAAGAATTAATCACCTTTATAACTTTTAAAATTTCCATAACACTGCAACTGATATAGCGTTCCACTTGACCACAGTCAATCTTTCTAATAATAAAAAGTAATTTTGTAATTTATTATTTACAAAAAGCCATTAGAGTACCGTAGATTCAATTCCAATGTCAGAAAAAGCGTTGAGTTTCAGGCTTTATACAGAAGCCCAATAAAACTGTGTTTTTATTTAGAGAGCAAATAGAAATGAATGGGGGTTGTTAAGCTTCTTTCTTAGCCTGAAATGCCCCATACCTGTCTATGTCTCTGAAAGGGGGGGTTGTTAAAGGAAATTGTTGGTCTGGCTGAATAGGGGAGGTCTTCTGTTCCCCTGTAAAGGGGTTGGGGTTGCGATGATAGCCCGTTCCTCCGTTTTAATTGTTTCATTTGGTTTTCGAAGCAAAAACCAGGCCTTGTATGTCCACTCTATAAAGCCTCAACACTTTTTCTAACATTTGAACTGAAAAAGCTTCCTGGATGGAAAGAGAAACGTCTTCCAACCTGGAAACAAAGTCCAGTGGATTCATTTTTTAAAACTTTTTTGGCATGTGCAATTTAGCGCTCCTTTTTCAGGTTCTTTAAGGATCAGGCCCAAAGGGTTTTCAAATGCTTACTTCCATTTATTAATTAAACATGTAAACCTTAAATGAGAACTTCAACACTTGTCTTTTTCACAAGTATGGTTCAAGCATTTAATATTATAAAACAATGATTCCATTCATGGCTCTGTTTTCTAGAGTAGATGGTCGATTACTCCTACTACGTCTTGTTTTTCTTAAAGACAGGATGCTGCTTGTTTGAGCTTTATTACAGAACACATTAAACCAGTTACTGTCTTAAGACAAGCTCCTGCCGACCCGTAATGTTTACAATACTGTCCACGCTAAGGTGTTAAGTAATCAATGAGGACAAGACTGTTGAAGGTTTTACAGATATGCAACATTTTTCTTCTGGGTCTATGATAATATGGACTGTGATATTAGCTGGGAATGAAAGAACAGCTCTAAAAGTGTGCTGACATTATATATGGAATACTTCCCTCATAGGTAAAAGAAAAGCAGACAAGTTAACAGTTGATAGTCAACACCATGAGGAAAAAAATACATTTTGCTTGGAAGATAGAAGATTTTCACTCTAAGGACAGCAAAAAAAAAAAAAACAATACAGCAATAACGAATATGTTAGTGTTGGGGGGGTTACACTTACCTGATTTCTGTATGCATTTATTAATGAAAATAGTTTTCCTAAAGAGACAGCAAAGCTTTATTCTCTGTAACAACCTTGCCGTAGCACATAGGTTTGAAAAGCAGAGGAGCATTGCTCTGAAAGTAAACCATCTGTTCACCACATGGGGGATTCCATGAAACTGAAATAAAAACCTAATGTACAAAATATTTAACAGGATCACTGTCTAGAATGGGATGTACCTATTCAGATTAAAAGCAATCCATAATAAAAATGTCTGGAATATTCTGTACAATAATTTGCAACAGTGGAAGTCATGTCTTCACCTTCCTTAGCCATCTAACTGTATGGAGCACAAAGGCAGTCACAGCAATGCTGATAACCCTGAAACCGTTAAATCCAGTTTGTATGAGATGGATCTGAGGTCAATTTAATGCTTTCCTTCATTTTTAGCTGCTGATTGGTTTGAGATCTGCAGCTATTTGTCTCACCGGTGCAGAGAAGGAATCCCTGGGAAATGATTATCGTTTATGTTTAGGGTTACCGTGCAACTTTCAAAGGTTTATTCCTTTACTTTCTCCTAAAATCTGCTTTCCATCCACTGTCAAAAGTTTGCTTTTAAACAGCAAATCATATTTTTTCATTTTTTAAGATAATATCTACTAAGTTCTTTTTTTTATTGTGTGGTCAAGATAACAGATTATCAAGATATCCATTCAAACATACACACAATATAAAAATATGAAATCAGAACAGAGATGAGTAGATAGATGAGTTGGCCGGACAGTTTGTCCATTTTTTATGACTGTAGTCGGTCTGTCCACAGTCGCCACCTTTAGCAGACGGTGCCGTTCTCTTGCCGAGCTTTGGGGTGGGTGGATCTGGGTATTGGCTGGACCGAGGGAGCCAGGGTGCAGAAGAATCCCGCGATAAGGGTGAGGCCAAGCCCCCCCCAGGCGCAGAACATTGACCACCCATAGCCATGGCCGATGTCATCAGGAAGGCCATACAAGTAGCGTGGGTAACGGGAGAGCTCAAAGTTAATGCCAGCCACGCAGGTACAGAGGGAGATAATGCAGAAGGTTCCTGGAACAACAGAAGACGAACAAAAGTTGATGTTTAGCACAGTTATTGAATGTCATCGCTGTTAATGATCCATTATTTTTACATTCCTGTCATCTCTGTATACCGTATGCAGAGGCAGAGCCGGCTGGCGAGGGATGGAACACTTAATTGCAGCTGGAGTTTCTAAGCGTTACATATTAAATATATTTAAGTAAATGCTACACACAAAAGACATTCAACTTGTAAAGTTAATAAACAATGCAAAAATAATAAAATAAATCTAAGGTACTATATATGCTACATTTGAAAATAAAAAACTACTTCCCATTAGCCCCCATAGGTTGTTTTTGCTATTTAGGTAGCAGCACAACCAGTGTGAGTTTGTAAGGAGGAGAGTGGACTAATACATTAGATGAGGACCATAGCTTGACCAATGGGCTGCTATAGAAAGCTTTGGCAAACTTTTTAAACAGAGTAACTTCAGCAAACTTTGCTAAGAGGTGGAGAATAATGGAGACCAAAGGATCATTTTCATTTTAGAACGTCATACACAGGCTTCAGGACACGAATTAACAGTAGAAAAGGTTCAAAATGTGAATTTAGCATAAACTGGGACCTGTTTGGTGAAAGTGTTTATTGATGGATAAATGACTAAATGTAGCATGAAAACCTGTTGATTTCTGCAACACATGCCCATCTCTTGCACGTGCCACTTTTCTTTGCATGCCTCTTTGCTCTGGTGAACTGTAAAGTGCCTTGAGATGACAAAGCAATTTAATGCCACTTATTCTGATGCTCAGTGCCATAGTAATGTTTCTCTGGAAAGCTGGTTTACATGGGAAATGGCTTTCAGTGTTCAAAGAAGTCAGAAAGCTTTTAAAATCTCGTCTAACCCTTTTAAGACTAATACAGCTTGAATGGTTTAGAAATCATTAATCTGGGTTCAACCTGGACACTTTGTTAGTTATTTTGGTTTTCTCTCTGTAGATCTTATGCTTTTAGATATATTTTTACTTTTTTTAATCTCGTCAAGCCTAATAATAAAGCCTGGTTGTTACTAGTTCAACTTAACTGAGCCTCAAAAAACTTTTAACGATCCCAGCTAATTTCTGATTTAACCACAGAAGATTATCTGATAGTAATAAGCCAAACCTTATTGTCCTTAGTAACAAAACCTCCAATTTATGAGAAGTCTGCCTTTTTGTGTTTGACTTGCCATATGGATTCTAAACTTAAAAAGCTCAATCGATACATTTATGATATGGACTATGGAGTGTGCTTTATGCAGATAATAATATTTAAAGGTGCAAGTGGCATTAGAAGGCCTTAGCAGCTCAGCACCGCTCGGCCTGCTGCGACCATGGAAGCCGCGCACCCCCGCCTCCGTGCTTCTTCCCAGAAAGCCGACAAGTTCCACACTTCACCACTAATTGGTACTATGATTACAGCATATCGGGACTTTGGTCAGAAAAGGTTAAACACCATTTAAAAGACAAAAAGTGGTCCTGTGAAGTAAGGAAGCTGAGGCGGAAGCATTTTCTTGCACGAAATAATTTATTTAATGCCCTTTGGAAAGAGAGAGATAGAGGTCTCTCTGACTGAGGCACCTGACACTCTCACATTCCCCCAGGGGAACAGACCCCTGGGGGAATGTGAGTGTTCAAGTGTTTCTCACACTTGAACATTTGGTTATTCCCAAGAAAAAAGACTTCAATTCATCAAGGACCTAAATTTTAGCCAGATAAACATTCAGAACAGCTCTCTCGTTCACGGCATGAAGGAGGCTGTGTGAACTCATTCTTATTAGGGGTGGGTATTGCCAAAGAAGTCATGATTCGATTCAAATCACGGTTCACATGACACGATGCGATTCTATCACGATGCATCTTGAAATATTGCGATGCATCGTGATGCATTGTGATATTTTCATCGAACATTGTTAGAAAAAAATAGAGCCATTACCAGTGGCTGACTGGCTGCGTATGATCTGGATAGTGTTTTCAATTGATACATTGATACAACTGAATTCATACATAGCTGTATTTATGGAAACAACTTTTGGAGGTACTGCCATGAAAAAAAATACTGGACAAAAATATTACTATTACAGGAGTGGACACACTAACAAAAAGTACTTAGGATTTATAAAACTTGAACAAAATAAGGATAATCAGTGCCGTTTACATGGCCTCAGTGGTCCTTTAAACCAATGAAACCAAAACATTCAAATGTATATTTCCCCTTTTGCAAATTACGTGCATCATATCAAATCTGTTTTTAAAGCCAAAATGCATCCAAACATCTGACTTGAAATGTGATGGAGCCGGGCAAATTTTCTCAGTCTCCTCCGTGTTTTGTTTACGAATGACTCGTAGGGATGGACATGGCGCCCATTAACAGCGTAGAGAAGCCTGGCTTCCTTCACAGGCTGAAAGTGTGTGATCAAAAATGTGAGCCGCCGAGTCGAAACACGACAAGCTGTCTCTGAAAAGTTAGATTCTGCTTTGTTTCTTGCAACAACTACAGTCCTTTCGTCCAGTCGATCCGTTCAGCCGTACGTGAGTTTAGTTGCATTATTTCGACATGAACTGGACTCCCAGCAGCAGCTGCTTACAAACCAGCTACTTCCCAGAAGATCAATAAGGTATTAGCTGTTCCATACATTACATATTTCAGCAAATCAAGCTGTTTTTCTTGCACTTGTACTGAATATATAGGTGTATATTTTTTACCAATAAAAAATCAGTACAATTATTGTTGGGTGAACATCTGTGTTACTTGCACAAGATTTATGATATGCATATTTAAGTTTAATTTATTTTTACAATACGTTTATTGTTGGCTGAACATTTGTTACTTTGCAACTGAATAGAGTAAACCTATTTTAAAATACAAGCATGTAGCTTTTAAATACTTCAAATTAAATCAATTAAAATAGTAATCGTCCAAGATGGCTAAAAAAACTGAGATGTTATTTTTTTAGCCATATTGCCCAGTCCTAGGCTGATGATACTCAGCTAGCTATAGCTGTCTATGAATCCTGATGAAACTAACACATTACAAAGAGCAGGGGTCACTAATTAAAAATCAGTGTGGGCCGGAAAAATAAAATTAACAACCACTAAAGGGCCGAGATATTATAATCCATTACTTTAAAAAGCATTTAACACTGAAATAAAATGCAGGCGTTTTTTTTTTTGCATCCATGTGAAACACTGACTTTTTAAGTTAAAAAAATAAGTGTGTTTTGACATAGAGCACAAATATCTTTCACAGTTCGGTAAGTAGACAATTTCCTGACTTTTAATCCTTTATCTTTCTTCCTTGTTTTCTGTCTTAATGTTGGCAGTGGGCTTTATGCTGCCCTGCAAGGCTTTAAACCTGGGTTTAAATGGAGACTAAGCCATTCTAAAGCACATATCAAGGAGCTCATTTTGAGCCTGGATCCAGATTTATTGTTGATTCTGTTCATGGTGGAGAATCCTGCTTCACAGCAGCAGGTTGAGCCAAACATCCTCTAAATGTTCAGGGTCATCTTTGAGCACCATTTCACTTTTCTTTCACCAGTTCACCGCAGTTCTTCCAGCTGTCCACACTTTCTCTGCACTTTCTCTGCTTTACCGTATTAACAGGAGAAGAAGAGCAAGTGAAGTTAGACACTGTCATCGGACAACATGCGGTAATTAATTTGTAAATGTTTTAAATCAGGTTGGGTCCTGATCAGCCAGCAGGTGGGTCCAGATCCGGACCCTGGTATAGTATACTCTATGACAGAGAGTAAGGTGTGAAAATATTAGCCCCACTTGAACTTTTCCACCTTTTTGTCACATTTCAGGTTTCAAATATAAAGATATAAAAGTGTCATTTTTAGAATAAACAAGTGGGACACAATCAAGAAGTGGAGTAAAATGTATGTGATATGCTAACATTTTTTAAAATGAAAATCTGAAAAGTGTGGGGTGCAAAATTAACCGGCTCCTTTACTTTTCCTAAACTTGGATCAATGGATCTAATGCTGTAACAGGATAGCCTATACAAACTCTATAGACTTTATACCTTTCCTAATTTTATTTTATATCGAATTAAATACTGTAAAGCTGACCTCACTTTTCACACTTCATAGTTTATTTCTGACCCTAATTCCTTTCCAAATACCTTACCCTAATTTAATACTCCAACCATAATCTCATATTTATTGACTTACCATGATAGTCTAATCATAACCGTAAAGTCAGTTGACTTCTTGCCTAAACCTAATTCAATATATTCAATATATCTAAAAATGACGTCCTATTTCTAAGCCTATTTCTAAATCGTATTTTAACCAAGTATTATCTGAATTATCTACAGCTAAAAATAGTTTAAAGCAAAAAACTTAAAAGGACAGAGAGGCTTGGAGCTGGTTAGATGACTGTGATAGCGTTGTGTGTTTGTTTTCAACTCACCTCCCATGAGGAAAAGGAGGCCAGCCACATACTGCATGAGACCTCTTTCCCAGCAACAGCCGAGCAATCCAATAATCCAGCCAAACAAAATGATAGCCACGGCCATGCCCATAAAACCAGCAGTCATTCGCCTCAGGTCTGCAGAGGAACAGAAGGGAAAAGTACCTTTTTGGTTTAACAGAGATTCGCAAAAAGTGCTGCAGCATAGAGACAGTCGGACACACATGCAGATGATGAGCAGTCAGAGCTGAGTTCATTGGAGTCCTTCTGAACTGAACATTTATGACAGCATTCAATTTAACTACACATATGCTGCTGAATGTTTCTGAGCATGGAATTGGTAATACACCTGACATAAAACAGCCGTCTGATTTGGGCTACTGTGCTGATGGAATCTGCACCAGGATATACTTCTCAATCTTCTTCAATGTTTTATAAAATGGACGGTTTTAGTGCTATAGTGTTTAGAGAATTCCCCATTATTTCAATGTGATATTTAATATTATACCTATGTTCTGGGCCGCTGGAAGTAATTTGGAACAGAGGATGCTGTGAAATTTGTTTCTGGAAAAAAGTCCTATGAGCCTATAGGCCTATTCAAAATAAAATAAATAAATAGATTGAGATTCACTACTTTACTGTCATATACACTTCAGCGCCTGCAACCAGTGTCTGTAACACACAGACATCATCAGTTCTCAGGTGAATATATGCGCTATTAGCTTTTATGTATTTTTTTTACTGTTTTTAAGTCTGCAATTGAAATTGTCTAGAGAGCTGTTCTAATTTCTTTTTGTTTACACTTGTGTATTCAAAATGACAAAATAAATCTGTATAAGTCTAAGTCTAGAAGCAGGAGAGTAAATGGCAAAGCAGGGCAGGATGTCTTTGTGACTGTGAGCAGGAGAGAAAGATGCTGAGCTTGTTCCTGAACTGATCATGTTGAACAATGTCTTCAATTCATTGGCTCTGTCCAGACTTTATCTCTTGTGATCCTTGGTTTATTATTTGGGAAGCAGTTCACTGTTCTGGTAGGGATGGTGTTATCTACACAGAAGTTTATGTAGTCAGTCAAACACTCAGTCATTGCACTGATGTCCGATCCATGTGGCTGACACAGAGCATCCCAGTCTGTAGCTTCAAAATGACCTTGTAGGGCTTCTTCAGCCTTCTTTGACCATCTTCACTGAGACAACATGAACCAAGCTTGATTGTATTGATGGAACAAGGCTGATTAAAGATTCAGAAATGTTCATCCACTGTGTCATGATCTTGGCACTGATGATTGGCTTAATGGTTCGTTCTATTCACCTGCCTAGCTCCACCCAGTTTCTCATTATCGTTTATCTCATCCACCTGTTCCTGCCTCTCTTTACGTTTCTTGCCCCCAGTCATCAGTGCCAGAATATTTGAGTCTTTGGTGAGAGTTCCCTAGCGTACCATGTGTGTTCTTCTGATTGCCTGATCCTAACTAGTTTCTACCTTTGGACCTCCGAGCCTGCCTGTCCCTGTTCTGATCTGTTTGCCTGAGCTGTCCTGACCTGGATCTGTCTCCTGACTTTGAATTGGATTTCCCTTCAGTACCTCTTCGGATCTCTGAGCTTCTGGCCTGGACTCTTGTTTACCTCATCAACATTGGCTTTGGCTTTGCCTTCTTGAAAGTCCTGCTGTCCCTCATCTGCTTGCTTCTGCCAGTTCAGCAGCCTTCTTGCCTTTGGCTCCTGATACTCTGGGCGGCATCCGCTGAGTGCTGTGGAAAATCATTTGGTTGGGCTCCACTCCTTTCTCTGGGCTCTGACTGAACTTAAAACCAGGTTAGTGACTGACACGCTCGTAAACATCTACTGTCAGATTTGCCTGGTCACTAACCTGAGTTTTCCCCCTACAGAGATTTCAGCCTGCTAGCTGCTGAATAACAGATTTGGCTTGTTGTCAATGAATGCTATTGTAAATCACGTCAGTCTGTCTGCCTGAAATTCTGGGTCCAAAGTTCTGAGTCCTGACAGAACAATCTGGCCAAAAAACAATCGGCAGACAGACAGTGGCGCTAGGGCATTGAAAAACGCATTTCTCGATGTGAATCAGGTATGCGAGAAATCCAAATCCATTTGCGCAATCAGGCTACTCCTGCTCCCACGCTACCCCCCACTTTAGCTCCTATGTCTACGTCACCTGTTGCTAGGTCAATTTGTCCCGAGTATTTTAGGGGCGACTCAGAACATTGTCTAGCTTTCTCAGTGTGAGATTCCTTTTGAGCTTTAGCCCTCCGCATTTCCCTCTGATAGGACTAAGATGGCTTATTCAATATCACTATTTGCTGGAAAGGTGAAGCTGTGGGGAACATCTGAATGGCAAAACAATCCTAGCCTGTGTAACTTATACAATGACTTTTCAAGAGTTTTCTGCCCAGTTCTTCCCAGTAAGGAGGCGTCAAGAGGACTCCTTTCTTTAAGACAAAGAAATCGGACTGTGCTGAAGTATATTATCGAAATCCATCTGCTAGTGTCAGAGAGTGCCTGGAACAAGGATCTCTCATGGATGTGTTTATCACTGGAGTGAACGAAAGGATAAAGGAAGAACTCTCCACCCGTGACTACCCTCAGTCTCTAAAGCATCTAGAGGATCTTTGCCTCCTCGAATGGCACAGGCCCCCGAAAGGAAGGTTTTATTCTCTGTCAGCTCCAGAATCACAAGCCATTGAAAAAGAGGTACCGAAGGAAAAACCGGGAAGCAGGTCCAGGTTCAGTAAACAGGCAGAATCCAGCAGGAGTCTGAAGAAAGGTCAGGCAAACAGATCAGAATGGGAACAGGCAGGCTCAGATGTCCAAAGGCAGAATGGGTCAGGATCAGGCAATCAGAAACATTCAGGTACACTAGAGAACTCACACCAAGGGCTAGAATACTGTGGACCTGATGGCTGGTTGAAGGCTGACACCATCTAGTCATCTAGTCCTGGTGACTTATTGTGATTCAGTCTCTCTAGTCTCCTCTTCACTTGACCTCTACACAGGTGGAAATGATTAGGGAGCAACACCACCTTCTGATTTGATTGAGGACAAATGCATTAAAGAAGGAGGCTCCATGGAGGTGGAAGACTAAACATTTGAGGTGTAAATAATAAAAAAATAAGATTAGAAGAAAACATCTCTCTGGCTTTGGGT